TTTGGTTAGCAACTGGCTCGGACTAGATCGGACCCTAAGTGGAAAATTTGGAAGCTTTGTTTATGACTGGGGTCATTTGTTTACAGTAGGCCGGATGTGGTTCTCACAGGGCTCGGTTTGAGTGAGGGGAGATTCTGTTAACGAAGCTAGAATTTCCAGCGGTTGCTAAGATTGGAAAGGGTCATTTGTTTATAATAGCCCGAATGTGGCCGGTTTGAGTGAGGGGAGATTTTGCTAGCGAAGCTTAGATTTTTCAGCGGTTGCTACGATTGAAAATTTGTTTATTAAACTCATAAGCTAAGAATATTCATGGGTTGAATAACACTCCCCCCTCTAAATTGAAGCGTCCCGATTCAAATGACGTTGGTAAGATGGCGTTTAGTTGAGCTGCTAAATCTGCTACAACATTTTCTTCTTGGGAATTATTTTGAATATTGTTATTTTTATACCAGTTACTCGTAGAGTAAAAGGGTATATTGTATTCGTGCAAAAGTATGTAACAGCTAGAAGGAAGCGTTTCCGACCCTATAAGGTATATATATTCTTGATCAGGATCACTAGCCGAGTCGATTTAGCCATGTCCGTCTGTCCGTCTGTCCGTCTGTCTGTCTGTCTGTCTGTCCGTATGAACGCTGAGATCTCGGAAACTATAAAAGCTAGAAGATTGGCATTTTGCATGTAGATTTTAGAAGTTCCTACGCAGCGCAAGTTTTTTCAAAATGGTGCCACGCCCCCTTTAACGCCCACAATCGCTAATATACGATTTTAAAAATTTTAATATTTCGGAAAAGTAAAAATGCAGTTTTATTGTGTTTATCAATACCTATCGAAATGTAGAAGAAATTTTTTAAATCGGACCATTCGTTAAAAAGTTATGCGTGATCAAAGTTTCTATCTCCATCTCCCTCGCACTCCCATTAGCTGAGTAACGGGTATCTGATAGTCGGGGCACCCGACTATAGCGTTCTCTCTTGTTTAAAATATTTTTTAGCCGTGGTTTGATGACTAACAGATATTTTTTGATTTTAAAGATTGACAATAAAATTATATATACTAAAACTATTAATATTACAATAAGTGTTAGGGGCATTTTTGTCTTTCTGATTTGAACAAATGGGCTTAGAATTTTTATATTGTCAAAGGATAGTTTCGAATTATTGAATAATATATATTCGGATATTTCAAAATTAATGTAATTGTGGGCTGTAATAAATTCGAGCATCTTATTATCTATGTTTGTGTAGGATATATTGTTTATTACGGTAGTGCCATTAAATATAATTAAATATGTTCCCGTTAAATAAGTATCGTTTACAATATTATTTCCGCTTATCAGCACTGCACCGTCTTGTATAACATCTATTCGCTTATTTTTTTCTTTTATTTTAATGCAGTAGGATTTTTCTCTATTCAATAAACGAGTAAAACATGATTGGTTTTTATTTAAAGTACAATAGTTCTTGAATAATTCCTTCTTAAAATTATAAATTTCGTAAGATGTGTTGTTGCATTTTGCAACTTGGTTGCTTAAAACTAATTTGCCATCATTTTGATAGATAGCCCTGGCGAAATATGTATCGCATCGATTTTTAATGACTGGATACCGAATATAAATTACAAATATTTCTTTGTGTAGTGCAATTTTAAATTGGGAAATATCCATTAGATCTGTGATCATGACAGGTTTTTCTTCATGTTTATAAATTTCTTGAAGATCGTCATGGTTTAGTATTTTTGTGTTAAAAACGTCGATTTTTGCTAAAGTAATGGTGTCAATTAAGTTTTGTAAATCAAAAGTTATTAGGCGTAAGCGGTGTTTTCTTAAAGGTATTTCTTGGTGGGTGAAAACTGAATCTAATGTGGTAGATAATTTCTTAACTTCGTCAAACAATTTGGAATTTATTATCTGTTGCTTATTATTATTTTCAATTAAATCGTTAAATTTTTCTTGAATTGTTGTAAAATCATCATGATCCGGTGTTCCAGTTATCCATTTTAAAATGGTGCCTAATTCGTTAATGCTTCTTTTATTTCTTGATGGAGTTAATTGTGATAAAGTTAAGTCGATGGTTTTTAGGTTGTAAGTCAACTCCCTGCCATCATTTTGAGAGATAGCCCTGGCGAAATATGTATCGCATCGATTTTTAATGACTGGATACCGAAAATAAATTACAAATATTTCTTTGTGTAGTGCAATTTTAAATTCGGAAATATCCATTAGATCTGTGATCATGACAGGTTTTTCTTCATGTTTATAAATTTCTTGAAGATCGTCATGGTTTAGTATTTTTGTGTTAAAAACGTCGATTTTTTACTAAAGTAATGGTGTCAATTAAGTTTTGTAAATCAAAAGTTATTAGGCGTAAGCGGTGTTTTCTTAAAGGTATTTCTTGGTGGGTGAAAACTGAATCTAATGTGGTAGATAATTTCTTAACTTCGTCAAACAATTTGGAATTTATTATCTGTTGCTTATTATTATTTTCAATTAAATCGTTAAATTTTTCTTGAATTGTTGTAAAATCATCATGATCCGGTGTTCCAGTTATCCATTTTAAAATGGTGCCTAATTCGTTAATGCTTCTTTTATTTCTTGATGGAGTTAATTGTGATAAAGTTAAGTCGATGGTTTTTAGGTTGTAAGTCAACTCCCAGTGGAACTGATCATTTCTGAATTATTCTTCCTTAATAATTTCTTTGTAAAAGCTTATATTAGTGATATGAAAAAGTTCTGCGTATGAATCATAAGTCCGGATGTCCTTGTTGTCTTTGTAGATGAAAAAGTCGTGGTTTGAATGGTCGATTATCTCAGAATAAGTTGATGCGAGTATCAAAACTATATATATTATAGTATTCATTATCTGTAAGTTAAAAATATTTTAATATTTAATATTATCTTTGTGGATTATTCTATTTCTATTATTTATTATTACTTTATTAGCTTTGTTTTCTTTAACTACCTGTTTTTTGTATCTTGGTTTTAATTTATTTCGTTCCCCGTACTTTTATATTTATTGTATTTTAAATATATGGATTAAAAAATAATTGGTATTTTTATATTATACGCATTATAATAACATTATATAAAATTATTATCATAATATAAATTAAATTTATATAAATATTTGTAAATTAACTATTTTAATTATTTAGAAAAAAGAGAAACCCAAAGGGGAAACAAAAAAGGTTTGCGCGCTTTTCTTTCTAAACATAGGCGCGCGCTTTTCAAATCAAATTTAAAAGACACAAAATCATTAAAGCTTATTTTCTTTTATATACGAAATTCTAAAAATGGATAACTTACATAACAAAAAAATAAAAAAACGCTTTCGACAACTTGGAAAAAAGTTATAAATATGTATGTACGTAATATTAAATATAAATAGGATATCCTGTAGCTTAGTTTTATAATTAAGCATTCAATTCGTGTTATTATAAATAGTTTAACTTTTTATAAAATAATAATATTAGCTTTAAATATTTATTAGGAATATTAAAAAAAAAGAATGGATAAATAAAAATTAATATCTGCTTATCAAATTAAATGTTTCGTTTTATATTTTTAAATTAATTATAAAAACATACCTTTTAACACAAAACAAATAAAACTGCTTGACTAAATAAGAATAGATTTAAATGCAGATTGATAATATTAGATATGATGTTATTAAAATATTTTAAGTCATTAAATCAAAGTTTAATATATTTGAATAAAAATTAAATTAGGTATGTACTCCGTAGACCTAAACAAGTCAAGTTTGTGGTGGAACGGTCCAGCGTTTCTCAAGCAGCCAATAGATAGCTGGCCGGAAGTACCATGGTTACAAAAGCAGGAGTCAATGAGTATAAACATGGTGCATTCTCTTTATCACCTATAGCACAGCATGATTTTTTTAAACCATGTTCGAAATTCATTAGGTCGCCTACTTGATTTGTGTTTTGTATCAAATCCTGAAGGTGTGTTTCTGTCCAGAGTAGCACCACTCACGCAATCTGAAGATCCATATCACCCAACAATCGAACTTTCATTTGATACGGGTAGAGTTATAGAAGAAAAATCAGAAAAATCCAAACGAATACATTGTTTTTGCAAGGCAGACTTTCTGAGGCTAAATAATTTTGTTTCTGGCTTTAATGGTCTGATCTTTTCTTATGCAATAGTATGTCCGATGCAGTTAATGTTTTTTACACTGCAATAAACTAATTTTTTAATTCCTGTGTTCCGTGGTACTATCCGTCAACTTCCAATAAATCACCTTGGTTTAGCAAAGAGTTGACACACTTAAGAAATGTAAAGTCCAGACTTTTTGGGAAATATAAAAATACCGGTTCTCAATCTGTTTTTACTAGATGTTTAAGCTCTCGGTCAAGATTTACCGTGCTTAATGCTCAGTGTTATAATAGTTACTTAATCCGTTGTAAGATCCAGTTCTCTCAGGACCCGAAACAGTTTTATAATTTCGTTAACACCAAGCGTAAATCTAATTATTTTCCTTCCTCGCTGTCGTACGAAAACATGACGGCAACCACAGATCAGGCAATAGCCGATTTATTTGCCCAATTTTTTGCAAACGACTTACTCTACTTTAAATTATTCATCACAGCCTTATTCTTACACCATGTCCAAGTCAAACCTCATATTCTGTCCCACTTTAACAGAAAGCTCTCTTCTTTTGGATCTTCTTCGTATTAAGCTTGTTTATTCGCCAGGGCCCGATGGTATTCCTGGGTGCGTGCTTAGGAATTGCGATAAGGCCCTGTGCAAACCTCTTCACAAGTTGTTTAACAAGTTAAAAGCCAGTAACTACAGAGGTATTTCTAAGTTGTCAGCTATTCCTAAGCTTTTTGAAAAAATTATTACTCCTCATTTGCAGCACCTTTGCAGATCAATCATTTCTCCGTGCCAACACGGATTTAGGTTAGGTTAGGACGGCTGCCAGGCTGTAGCCTGGTACACTTAGACCTCTGTGGGTCCATTGTGATACCGTATGATCTCTATTTTTGGGTCCCCTATCCGTTAAGAGTCAGCCTGTAAGTTGGTCGATCAGCAGGTCCCCCATCCGGAGGATTTAATAAAAGAGCTTAGACTCTTCAGGTTAGTCTGCGATATTTCGGTCAGGTCATTTATGAAAGGATATCCTAAGTGTTTCAGTCTGAGCCTGCATAGGGCTGGGCATGAACAGAGTAGGTGTTCCACCGTTTCCTCTTCTTCCTCATCCCTGCAGCTTCTGCAAAAATCGTTTTTTGGGGCTTTTAGCCTGCCGGCGTGTGCGCCAACGAGCCAGTGGCCTGTGAGTACTCGAATTAGCATGCTGCACTCAGTGCGGCTGAAATTGAGTAGTTCTGATGTTTTCTTATTGTTTATTACAGGCCATGTCTGGTGAGAGATTCGGCATTGCGGTGTGTTTTGCCAATAAGTGTTGGCTAATTTGCTGAAGTGGTTTTTAATAATTAGCTTACAAGTAGCCATCGGCATGCCGACATTCTCCTTTCCTGGAAGGAGAGGTATGGTGGTGCCTTGCCTGGCTAGCTCGTCTGCTATACAGTTGCCTACGATATCCCGGTGACCCGGAACCCATATAAGGCTGACAGTAAACTGATTAGCCATCTCGTGGAGAGATTTGCGACAGTCTGCTATTGTTCGGGAGTTTGTGTTTGTCGAGTAGATTGATTTAATAGCCGCTTGGCTATCACTATATATGTTTATGTGTCTGTTCTGGGTGTTTAACTCCCTTAAACAGACAAGTGCTTCCATTATAGCGTACACTTCCGCTTGGAAGACACTGCAGTGGTCAGGAAGTCTGAAAGACCGCCTGATCTCTAATTGCTCGGAGTATATGCCTCCACCTACGTGTCCGTCTAGTTTGGAGCCGTCTGTATATAGACAGATTGCGTCTATTGAGCCCGGTCGGCCACGATCCCAAACTTCCCTGCCTGGGATCAGAGCTTCGAAGGGCGTGTGATTGTATTCACGGGTTTTACATAGATCCGTTTTTGGCGGGATCAATTTGTCATGCTGAAGAATCTTAGCGTGACCATACAGTTGGGCTTTCCATTGCCCTGTATCCCTTAGTCGAATGGCTGCCGATTTCGCCCTTTCCATTCCTGCTAAGTCCAGGCTCTGGAGGTTCAAGATCGCATTCAGCGCTTCGTTTGGGGTAGTTCGAAGGGCTCCACTCATACACAAGGCCGCCATGCGCTGTACTTTGTTAAGTGGAGTTAAGATACATTGTTTGTGTAAAGCGGTCCACCACAGAGCCACTCCATATAGTAGGATTGGCTTGACTACCGCTATGTATATCCAATTGACTATTTTAGGGGACATACTCCATCTTAGCCCAATTGCTTTTTTACAAGAGTAAAGTGCAATGGTCGCTTTCTTGGTTCTCTCTTGGTTGTTTAGTCCCCATTTAAGACGCTTATCTAATACTAACCCCAAGTATCTTGCGTGCTCGCTAAAAGAGAGATTACAGTTGTTTAAAGTGGATGGGTTAAGTTTAGGGATTTTGTATCTATTTGTAAAAAGGACTAGTTCCGTTTTTGAGGGATTTACCCCAAGTCCGTTCTTTGTAGTCCATTCCGATAGTGTTTTTAGTTTTGCGGTCATAAGATCGCATAACGTTTGTGGGTACCTACCATTAAAGATGATAGCGACATCGTCTGCGTATGCCACTATTTTACAGCCTCCTCCTTCAAGAATCCGCAGTAGTTTATTTACCGCGATATTCCATAAAAGGGGTGATAGTACACCTCCTTGCGGAGTGCCTCTGTTCACTAACACACGGATTTATTAAACGTAGATCCACAATCACAAACTTTCTAGAACTCACTACATTTGTGATAAAAGGCTTCAATAGTAGTTTTCAAACAGACGTCATTTACACAGACTTTAGTAAAGCATTTGACTCTGTAAATCACTTACTTCTTATTCAAAAACTTGACCTGTTAGGTTTTCCAGTTGATCTGCTTAAATGGATTTCAAGTTATCTGAATGGCAGGTCACAAAGGGTCCTTTTTAAAAATTCAATTTCTGAAATTCTCCGTGTTACCTCCGGTGTCCCACAAGGGAGCCATCTGGGTCCGTTACTTTTTACATTATTTATTAACGATCTTCCCTCAATTATAAGTCATTCTCGCGTACTTATGTACGCAGATGATATTAAGTTGTGCCTGCAGTATAAGGACATTTCCTGCCATTTAAACTTGCAATCCGATCTAGATAATTTTCAAAACTGGTGCCGAGATAATTTACTAAATTTAAACGGTTCCAAGTGCAAGCTGATGACTTTTTATCGGGCCAATCCGATATACGCGACTTACACGTTAAGTGGCAGCTCTTTGGATAGAATAACTCTTGTAAACTATCTTGGCGTTCTCTTGGACCCTAAACTAAAATTTTCTAATCACATTTCGTCCATGGTTAATAAAGCCAGATTTATTAAAAGGTGGTCAAAAGAATTGGATGAGCCTTTTTGACTAAAACTTTATTTATTTCTCTAGTCCGTCCGATTCTGGAGTATGGGTCTCCCGTCTGGAGTCCACAATACGGAATACATATTGGTCGTATTGAAAACTGGGATGCAAATCTTATCTTACCTTCTTATTCTAGTAGACTTCTTTTGATTAATTTACCATCCCTAGCCAACCGTAGAACGATGCTTGGTACTATCTTTATTTATAACCTTATAAATGGTGATATTGACTGCCCCGACTTGTTAAGTCGGCTAAACTTTTCTGTGCCAAGTAGATTAACTGAAATTATATTCCCCTAATTTTAAATCATTGTGGATCTAACCAAAGACCAATATAAACTCTAAGATGCGTAACGCCCATACATTGGTTTTGCAATACGCAGCTTGTTTTTTGGTGGCGACAAAAATTCCGCTCTCTCCGCTCGCACAGAGTTGAGAGCGTAAAAATCTAAAAATAGAATTGCACGAATAAGGAAGTGCGTATGTGTGCGTATTTGTTGGAGTAGACGATTTTCGTCCAGAAATCATTTCTGGACTAAAGCCTAGTATCCTGATCGACGAAAACCGTACGCCAGTCATGAGAGAGAGCGAGAGGCAAACAGCTGGCGTTCACTTTTCGTCGGGCCTTTTTTTCACTTCGGTCTCCTGATCGACGAAAAAAATACCAGAAAATTCCATAGCGTTGCCAGTCTGCGGAAATTAACTTTGGGTGAACCCTAGCGGAAAAGATTAAAAAATTTAATCTTTTGGCGTGCGCTTCTCACTGAACACTATAAGAAATGGAGGGAAAAACTCAAAAAATTCGCAAAAGTCGATTGCAGGTTTTTACATGTGAAGACAAAATAACATTAATACTATCTGGGGTGCCTCTTGTCAGAGCAAAATGTTTTTTAGGTCCAGCATGTACGAAAAAACACAATAAAAGTGCAGCTATGAACTTTAAATTAGCAAATAATTATCAGTAAATTAAAAAAAAGAACTGTTAATTTTAAATTGTATTGTTTTTTAATTTCTTTGTACAGCGGTAGACTTTTCTTGCCAAGGTATTTGATAATATCTTTTAAAGGCTCTTTCCCGCAAATACGATATTTGAATTTTAACTGCTTGTCAACAAACCCAGCTGATTGACAGTACGACCGTAGCACGCTTAACTCTGATGAACTCTCAAACTTTTGGTCACACTGGAAAGATTAAAGTTTTTACGCTAGCGTAATCGTTTGTCGATCTGGATACTAGGCTTAAGAAACTAATTGTGTGTCAAAAGAACTTCTATGATTGAACAGGATGTTTATTTAAATTGCATTTATGTATATATGGCAATGAAGCTTGATGTACAACTTTTTTATATACCTTAAAAACGAATATCGGCATATTTAATTCATTGTTTCGTTTTACATATTTAAATTAAAGCTAAAAACAAAACTTTTAAATCAAAACATATAAAACTGCTTTATTAAATTTAAAAATTTTTCAATAAAGTTTAATAGATTTGAATATAATATGATTGTTAAACAAAGCGAACTATATTTAAATTGAATATATTTAAAGGATATTTAATTAAATATATTTCACTTTATTTTGTAATCCATGGCTAACTTTAAAATGGAACCGTTCCACCACAAACTTGACTTGTTTAGGTCTACGGAGTACATACCTCTGGAAACTATATCAGCTGGATTGCTCGCGACAAATGTTGTCCAGCGGCTTGCATGCGAAGCGAGCCAGTTGAGCACAATGGTCGAGTCATTCTTGTAAGTGAATACTTGATCTAACCTTGGCCATTAACGATGTCATGAGCAATGCCCCCCTTGCAGTTCCAGTCGGGGCAGAGATGTCACCCTTACTGGCGCCACCTTGGATTTTGAAGTTACCAAATGTACGTAGACTGATCCTTCCTGGTCCTGGACGCGCGCATAGATGACTCTGCCATAAGCGCGGCTTGAGGCATCGGAGAACCCATAAAGCTCTAGAGTGTTCAGATCAGCCTGGAGTGGGACTACGGAACGAGGCATCGCGCACAGGTCGAATAGCTTCAGCTCCTTTTGATATTTTTGCCACTGACTGGCATAACTAGGTGGCAACGCTTCGTCCCAATCAAGCTTTAGCAGCCACAGCTCTTGTACAAAGATTTTTCCCAAAATTATAATTGGGCTTGAGAAACCCATAGGATCAAACACTTGCGATAATTCCGACAACAATATTCTTTTGGTAATTCTGGGAATACTCTTCTCCTTAAAAGATAATTGAAACTGGTCGCCTTGACTTAACCAATAAATGCCAAGCGCCTTTGCTGCATCTTCAGTCTTGAGCATAAAAGGTTCTTCTGGAGCTGCTTCACTGTGCTCAGTCGGATAACTGCTACGCCATTTATGTAGGACGAATGTACCGATTTTTTAGGAGATCAGAAATTTCTTGTTTCAATTTGGACAACTCGTCCATGTAAAAACTTCTCCCAATGGCCTCGACTGCAAAAGGATAAGGCTCACCGCATTGTTCAGCCAAATAAAACAGGCATCGCACGGCTAGGAATGGAGCGGAACTTTTTCCGTAGGTCACGGTTTTTAAACGCAGCGTTTGCACCTGGACACTGGAAATTACAATGGGGATCTATTACTAAAATTTGCCTATACATTTTGGCAATGTCAGCTGTTAGCGCGTACTTGTAAAATCTGAATCGGATTAATATCTCAAAAAGATCAGGCTGCAAAGTTGCTCCCACGAGCATAGTGCTATTGAGCAACACTCCGTTGCTGGACTTGCAACTAGCATCAAACATGATGCGCAATTTTGTTGTTAGGCTATCCGGCCTTAAAACGGGATGGTGAGGCATAAAATACTTTACATTATTCGTCTGACTCTGATCTAGAACTTGTAAGTGATTGCAATTCTTGTATTAATCGATGAATTCTGTGCACTGCCTTTTAAGATCCGGGTTGCGGTTTAGTTTCCTCTCTAAGTTCAGAAATCTATTCATCGCTATTGCATAGGTATCTCCCAACGGCATTTTCGGACTTTTAAATGGAAGAGCCACCACAAGATGTCCGCAAGTAGAACGACTAATATTATTGACAAAATGAGTCTGGCTGGCGGAGCCAATTCTTCACACTTCCAAAACTTTTGGACTAGCTCGTGTAGGTCATTTGTTGCTTGAACTTTCTCTTCTGTTTCACTAACTAACAAGGAGACGCTCGTAGAATCGGATAGTTCACCGACGACTACCCATCCTAAGAGTGATTTTTGTAGAGTAGGCATTTCTGGTCCCAGCTTGATCTGTCCTGCTACAATCAGCTTAAAGAAGGATGATACACCCAGCAGCATATCAATTCGTTCTCCAGAATCGAATGTGGGATCTGCCAGTATTACGCCCTTTGGTGTCTGTAACTTCACTATATGTGCTGCTCTTGAAGGATGATACTGTGTGATTTCGGGCAGAACACAAAAACTTTCGGTGGCTTGAAGAACATTGCAACAATTTGGCAATAAACCTGCTAGATAACAGCACACAAACCAGGAGGTTACAAAGGACCCACCCTTTAGATCTACACTGGGACTAAGGTCCGATCCGAAATACACTCTGGGGCCGATGTTTCACCCGCAACACTCATTGAATGATGTCTGACCTGATTTCACAACTCCCACTACACCTGTAAAAACAATAAGCGAAGTACCTAACCACCACATTTATTGATTGTCCACAAAGGACAGTATTAAATACTAAGCCACACGTTAATAAAAAAAAAAAACTTCAATTTTGCCACTAACTTACTCTTCAAAAAATTTAACTGCCTTTCAGAATCTAAAATACACCTACAGTTTTGATAAGATCCGTCGCTGCTTTTAATAAGCACAACGGCAGTTGCTAGAAAACTGACGGATGTCTTCGCCAACAGCGAACTATGCAAATAATTGTGAGGTTGTTGATCCAGTGTGGACGGCCTAGAACTGTTTGTGTTTGCTAAAAATTTCGCGATGGAGCAATTCATGATGAGGCTTATTACAAGAGCTACAGTATTGGCTACTACATGCTCTGGTAGAATGGCGTTTGCTAAAACAGACTAGGCAGAGAGATCGCTTATTGACCTCCTGATACCGTTGAATCTGGCAGAGCTCTTTAAATTTTGGATAGGATTTAATGGAATGTCCACCTCCGCAAATAAAACAGCTGCCTTTTCCATTGCTGTATACCGCTGTAGCTAAGCTTGACTTCTTGGAATCACTTTTAGTATTGGGTTTGGAGCTGTTTGTCTGCCGAGCTCCCGATTTGCCAAATTCATACCTCTAGATATTAAAAACCTTGAAAGCATTGGCCAGGAAGGGGGTTCAGAACAATCCCATTCATTTTCCCACTTATCTACAGCTTCCTCGTCTGCAAATCAAATGAAATATAACCGCGTCTAAAATCTCTTGCTCTTTAGCTAGCGACCGTAAGGAAACTAGTTGTGAATTTACACTGTCTACTAAAATTCTTAAAGCTTCTGAGTTGGTATGCTTGACACGCTTTAAGTTAAAAAGCTCTTGAACATGGGACTGAACAATGATTGCCTTGTTTTCATAGCGATTTTGCAGCAGGCGAAGAGCACGAATATAGTTAGCACCTGATATTTCCAAGAAATCAATTGTACCACTAACCATACAACATATAGACTGGTCATTTCATACAACGAATTTGGTCACAAAATTTTTCAATCGGGGGGCCCCAATGCTGGAATCGGCAGGCCCCGACACTTCGTGTGCCTTCGGGTTTTTTCGCTCTCGTTCTAATTCTTATTTTGACGCTCGCGCTCGAGTTCGGTCGTTCAGTCGCAGAGACGCGCATTTTGAAGAAGGTTGGCCTGCGCTTGAATTGGGCTTTGTATGTATGCGTGTTCATGCATTCTCATACAGGGGTGCATGTGTGCGATCATTTCATTTCGATGCAGCAAGAATATTTTGTCTTTTGCTACTTTTCAGACTTGGTACCCTACCAATATGGGCGTATTCACTATTGGGTTAATGATAAAAATAAGAATATTATATGTTATAGTATATTTTTTAATATTTCAGCATATATTTCATCTTGGTTTGCAAATTCATATCAGTAGTAGCAGTAAAATGTTTTGCATATATGTATGTATTCCAATTAATAGAAATCAATCTACTGAGATACGAACAGGGCATATCGCAGTCGGTGTCACAAAAAACACCGACTGCTTTTAAGTGGTTCAGAAAACTTCAAACCAAATCAGCTTTGGTTGTTGTTCTGCGAGCGGATGGTGCCTGCATACCCTACCGACGATTGAATTTTAGGGGTGGGGACAGAAACAAGAACGGCTGTTTGGCTTTTGTTTTGTTTACATTTTTTAGGACACTTGTTTTGAATGTTATGTTTAATGACCTTTGGTTGATTTATTTTTTTAAGGCTCGCAGTGTAATATTGTTTAATGTTGTTATTTAATGATCTACCTTTATTTTTATGTAAGTTAACAGTATAGGGCTAACCGCCCGACTCTACCGCCCCCGCACCCCGTGCCACCTCAGCATTGCGACATACGCCGGCCAGGCACCGACACACCGCTCCCCCCCGCACCCCGTGCCAACTCAGCACAGCAACATCCGCCGACCGGGCACCGACCTACCGTTCCCCCCCCTTCCGCACCCCGTGCAAACTCAGCACGGCGACATCCGCCGGCCACGGGAACGCTGACCGCTCACGGTGCAATTGGAGCACGGTGAGAACTGCAAGGTCTGCAATACTTCGGCCGGCCACTGACGCTTACTCCAGCCGGCCGCTGACGCTGACGCCGACGTCGACGGTGGGACGGGCACTTACCGAGGCTTGGCGGTAATAGAGCAGCGCTTGGGAAGGCAGAACAAATTGGACCGGCTAACTGGCACATTGAAATATTGTATACACAAAATAAATTTTATAACGTAATATAAAGACCCTCTGGACTTCTCACTCATCTGGAAGGGAATTGGCCACATACTTGGGAGGGACCGACAATTAAGGAACCTTATTCTAATGACTAGGTATAAGTCAGTCCTCACAAGGATAGGAGTCCTTGGGAAGGACTTAACTGGCGCCCGAACAGGGACCTCTCCATTAAGCGACGAGGATCCCTAGGACAAGGTAAGGCGGGAAGTGAATTGTGTGTTGCGTGTGTGAGAAAAGTGAGAGTAACCTTCCATGAGAGGTACATGTGAAAAAAAAGTTTTTTTTTCTAAAAAATAAATAAAATGAAAAAGGTGAAGGAAAAAAAAAGAATATAAAAAAAATTAATTAACAAAAATTTTAATTCCTAATAAGTGGAATAAAAAAAAAAAAAAAAGTGAAAATGAGAATAATAAAAATTGATTCCAAATAAACAAAAAAATGATAAAAATATGACCGACCCGCTGCTGTGATCTGACCTCCCGGCTTATTCACGAGCGCAAAAGGTTATCGTGAAACAAAAGAAGTGACCAAACCGCCGCGGTGGTTTTAATTCACGGGCGTTATAAGGTGTTACAAACATAAAGAAATATAAATTTTGATAACCGCTGCGGTAACTTGTTTACGAGCGGCCCGATTTATAATAAAAAATAATATAACGTGTAAAGTGGTGTGGGTAATTCACTAGATACGCTCAGTGTTACCAGCACAGAAAGGGCTGCCTAGTGGATTGTGTGGCAACCGTACCTTAGTAGGTGATAAACCAAAACGGAATAATACGGCCCACCGCGCCTAGCGCCGGATAAAAAAAGGAATCGACAATTTTTATTTACAAAAAAATGTACAACTACTCACCGAGGAAAAAAAATTGAAAAGAAAAAATATGATGATAAAATTGAAAAAAATAAGGAGGAAAAATCTCACGAAACAAGAAATAAAAAACACACACACACACGTAAAAATTCAATTCCCGCCTGTCCCCTAAAATAAAAATATCTGAATCACACTAAAGTCATTCTTTTTACCCTTAGAATCTGCACGTTGTAAGTGACCTGATACTCATGTCCTGAACACACGAAGATAACACCAATAACAAGAATAAAGAATAAATACGAACCACGGGTAAGTGAAGCGTTCTCAGCATAGAATTTTATAATAAAAAATTTAAAAAAAAATTTTTAACCGTCACTCTACCCATAATTATTTAAAACTATTTGAAAAGACTCCCATTTGTTTGAATCGATTCGTTAGTATGGAGGAAATGAAGGCAGCTTTGACTAAATTTGAGGCTACTCTGGCCGTGTTGCTTGGCCAGATGGCTGACGTTAAAAACGATGTAAAGAAAGTTAGTGATAAGGTAGTGAGCCTAGAGGAGGCTCAAGAAAAGGTTAACGAGGTTGTTCCCCAACCGAAGCCTTTGACTCCCGCCCGTACGGAGTACGAGCTAAAAGAAATTGCTAGGCTGCCGGATTGTGTGAAGGAGCTGCAGGTCTTTGAGGGCGAAGCTGGTGGCTACGACTCTTGGATGGGTAGAGCCGAAACCATTCTAAAAGACTATGAGATAAGCAAGGAAAGACCTCTCTATCGCTCCATAGTCGTTAGCCTTAGGCAGAAGATTAGGGGTAACGCGGAGACAACCCTTCTGTCATACAACGTGGCAGAAGACGATTGGCCTGAAATTAAACGCGTCCTAATGCTCCATTACGCCGATAAGCGAGACCTGCGCACTCTAGAGTACCAGATGGGTCAAATGACTCAGGGGGCGAAGACCGTGGAAACGTTTTACTCGGGAATAAATGCTCATTTTGCCCTGATAATACGTTGCCTTAAAAACGGTAACCAAAGCCCTGGAATTCTTAGTGCGCTGGTCGAAACTTATAGGGACAGAGCCTTGGATGTCTTCATCAGAGGCCTGAGCGGTGACCTCTCTAAACTATTGGTAATTCGCGGCCCAAAAAAATTGCCAGAGGCCTACGCAATCTGTTTAGAGTTGCAGAATCTTACCTCAATGAATCATGTCACCTATTCTAGTAAGTTTTCATCCCCTCAGCCAGAAGTACTCTTGGCCCCAATGCAACCATTCTTCTTATAATAACTAATACCAATATCAAGACGCAGGCAGGAATTCTCAGCCCCCGCCAAGATATTCAAATCCGCGAGCGATCAAAATGGAGCCCCACCAGTCTGGCCACTCATATCGTTCAAACCAGGGAAGCAATAATTTTAGCGTTAAACGCAGCCCTAGTACCTCTTCCAATCTTAACCCTTTCCGGAAATCGCAAAGACTATACCAATTAACTGCTGTCCCATCCCCGGGTGAGGCCGCTTTAAACCAGCATGAGGAAAAATCCGTCAGGGAGGCTTATTATGATGAAGCTTTACCAGACAACCAGTCTGGCCGCCAACC